CAGAATCCTGACTGGGTGCGGTTTCTACCTGTTAGAGGGGAACAGAAAAGCTTAGGGCAGTGCCTTCATGCTCTTATTCTAATTCTTTCTCTGAATTTTCTCTTCATATTTTCTTTCCGCACAACCTCCCCGCCCCAGCACCCCAGCATTCTCTGCACCGGATGAAAAATGTCAGCTATCGTTTCATTTATTCTCCTCTTGTGTGTTCTCCTCGTGTGCCTGTTAGTTCTGCTTTAACCCTCTGAACCCCTGGATAGCAAGAACTGTTTCAGTGAATCCCTCTTTAAAGCAAGGGACCTCACCTTTTAAAAATGATGCACCCTTTTGAGAATTTGAAAAAGAGACCTGTTTTCTCTATCCAAAAATACACACACCCCATGCATTAAATTTCTAAGAAATTAATTTTCTCCAGAATGAAAATCACTGCTTTATAGAATGTGAGTGTACACTAGTACCACTGCTGTCACCACTATTTCTAATATGACTACAGTGTCCTGCAGGCGAGCATGTGATCACGTGAGACTGCCTCCCTCTCTGTTACCTGACAGGCAGTGTGGTGGAGTGGAATGAGCTACTAACTCAGACAGGTCTGGGTCTGGGTCTGGATCCCGCGTCATCATTTCGTAGCTGTGTCACTTTAGGCAAGTTACTTGACCTCCCTGAGCCTGAGTGCTCTCATATGTAGAACAGGAATAATAATAATATCTACTTGGCAGGAGCCAGCACACCTGGCACCTTGTAAGGAGGGACTCACTAAATGCTGGTAACTCTTATTACCTGGGATTGTAGGGGTTATTTTATTTGGTAACTGTCATGGGTTTTTAATGAGGATTAAAAGTCTCTTTCTCTCCCTCCCAGTTAAGGGCTTATTTCTCAATTGAGCTCTTCTTCTTCCCAAGGCACCAAATGAGTTCCTAGATCAGAAAATTTCCGCCTTGTTGGCCTGCACCAGGGAGTTCCCACAACCATGCACCTCCACGCCTCTTCTGTCCCTGTCTTATTAGCTTGGGCAAGAGGGAACTACTGGCTGAGAAACATCTGGGGCCTTCTTAGCTCGTTTATTTGGTTAACAAACAGAAGGCCTAATTCAGCACAGAGGGATCAGGGACTCCTATTTTTGACCAACTTGCCAGGAGAAATTTGGGGGGAGATACTGAAAACACACCAATTCCCAGGACCCTTATGTATTGGGTTTAGCAAGTTGCAAGCTGCCTGTTAGAAAGTGCATTCCAGCTCGGCTGGTGTGGCTCAGTGGATGAGTGTCAACCTATGAACCAGGAGATCACAGTCCGAATCCCGGTCAGGGCACATGCCCATGATGCAGGTTCAATCCCCAGTGGGGGGCGTGCAGCAGGCAACCAATCAATGATTCTCTCTCATCGTTAATGTTTCTATCTCTTTCTCCTTCTCCTTTCCTCTCTAAAATCAAATATATATATATAAATTCTTAAAAAGAAAAAGAAAAAGTACATTCCACACTAGGGCCTTTCTCTGCTTGTCAAATATTTGCTCAGCCTGACATGCTAGGTCCAGGTATCAGCAAAAATAGTCCAGCTGTTTACACATGGACAACTGCTAAGGTGGTGTTAATAAATGATTAACCCAAATGCTGCAACAGACCTCACTCTCCTGGCTCAGGTTTCATCGTGGTGTTTAAGTTGGGTACTAGTCAAATTTGAAAGATCGACCTAGATGTTTGAGAAAATGAATCGTGATTCCTGTAGGATCGGGCCTGGCCAAAACTGTAAGGAAATAAAGTCTATCTTGGGGACCCCAACTCCTCTTTTTGTACCTTCCTCTTCCTCTCAGTGTTTTCCTCCTGCGTCAGGAGTATAGTGTTCTCATTCTGATACACTTTAGCAAAAGAAAACAGGCCAGGCTCAGATACCACCTCAGACTCTGGGCAAATCCCTGAGCCTCTCTGAGCCGTTCTGTATTCGTTTGTAAATGGGGAAGTCACTCTTATACTATGCTATGAGTGATTAATGAGATAATATTTTGTAATTTGTAAAGTACCATACAAGTGTCATATTATTATTGCTATCTATGCCAATAGCATTTTTGTATTAGCAGAGGACTGCTGGGACAGGCCTTAACGTAATGAATTAATAAAGTTAGTGCTCACTACATGCCAGGCACTGTTCTAAATCCTTCACCTGTATTACTTAATCCATACAGTAACACGATGAGGGAGATATGATCACTGTCATTCCGTTTTATAGATGATGACACGGAGGCACAGACAGATAACTTGCCCAGGTGGCGAAGCTAGTAAATGGCAGACTAGGGATTTGAACCGTAGTAATTTAGTTCTGGGGTCCAGGCTCTTAAATCCCAGGCTGTTCTCTTAGGAAATGAATCCCTAACTATTAAATGTAACACAAAGGAATTAATCCTAATGATCAAGTTTTAGGTATCAATGAGGAAAATGCTTTCTTTCAGTCAAGGTTTTGTGCTTAACATCTCCTCCCCCAATGGCTCTGCCTTAGTCTAGGTCCTGGATACCTGGACCTGTTGTGAAATCTCCTTTCCTCACCCATTTTCCAAATGGCAGCCAGAGTGGTCTTTCAAAAGCACAAGCCAGGCCATGTCCCCAGCTTAAAACTTTGTAGTGGCCCCCACTGCTGAAAGGATCAAATCTCAACTTTTGAGCAGTGGCACAGAAGGACGGTCCATAATTTGTTCCCTGCCCACCTCTCCAAGTAAGCTCCAGCCATGCTAGTTACTCGAAGTTCCCTGAGCCTTCTGGCTTTGGCTCACACTTCTTCCAGAACGTCCCGCCCCCATCAAATCACCAACTTGTCTTTCAAGACTCAGTTCATCTCTCAAGACCACAGCTAGCGAAGCCTTTCCTCCCTCCCTAGATAGGAATGACCGCTTCCCTTCTTCGCCTCCACTGCACCCTACACTCGGCGCTCCTATCCCAGCACCTCCGACTCCATGAAGTCACTACACTTAGATATTTCCATAACCACGTTTCCCCTTTTCAACAGAAGCTGGAAGGCAGGCACCGCTCTAACCCTAGCACCAAGCTCAAGCCCTGGCACCTACCAGACACCCAGGACGTATTTGTAAATGGGTGACTAAAGATTCCCAGGGTCTTCGGTCACTTCCTTCATGTGCACTGCACCATAGGCTCTCATCAGACTCTCTCAGCAGCTTCCCAGCTTCCCATTGACCCTGGATTCTGGAGGAGTCAAGTCCCAAAGAACTGTAACCCTCTTTGTACCCCTAGCTGGTAGGTGGTCGACAAGCTGACCTTGTTCTTCGTAGTAAAAACTCAAAGGGGTGGAGTGGGAAATCGGTGGCAGAAGAAGAATAGACTCCAAGAATTCAGACTCCCAATCTACCACTTCATAACAGCTCTCTGGATACAAATCGGTTTACATGGAGTTTATCAAAATACTCATAGGTAGTTTTTCTAGAACCACTTGCCATTCACACCCTTGTACAGCAGCTGGGCTGGAAAGAGCTGGAGACTTAGACTAACAAAGGCTGCCATTGACTGAGCAGGGAAGAGGAATAAGAAAGTCAAGTGGAAGAACAGGAATTTAGACGTATAGATAAAAACTTCCCCAAGATCTGAACATTCCTGTTCTTGCTGAAAACTATACTCCTCTGGCAAGATCCGTGGACAGAAACAGGATTTCTGTTTTAAAAATAGTGTAAAAATAAGCAGTTCACAAGGTCAGTGGCGGGTCTCGGCTGAGCCAGCACATACTGTAACACCTGTGTTAAGGTTGGGTGTGTCTGTGTAGGCATTCGGGGTCAGCTTGAGAGCGCGCCCTGAGCTGGGTTTGTATATGGTTCTGTGTGAGAAAGAAAAAATGAAATAACTAGTTGTGAGTGTTTGCAGGGGCAGAAAAGGGACTCTCTCTCTCACTACTAGTTTTTTCAGAACCTGTCTTGGAGATTGGCCCCCTTACCAACCACTGGAGTGCCTGAGCCGGGGCCCTCTGGTTCATAGGTTGACGTTCAACCACTGAGCCACACTGGCCATGCCATGCCATGTACTTCTTACTGTCTAACATACAATATAAACTTTTATGTATTTATTGTTTACTTATTATAGTTGTTGTTTATTGTCTGTCTTACCCCCTCCAGCATGTAAATTCCATGAAGACAGGGCACTTTGTCTATTTTGTTCACCAATATATTCCAAGCACCTAGAATAGGCCCTGGCAGATAGTAGAAGCTCCATGAATACCTATTAAATGATTTCATTTTTATTTCCGGAGCAATTGGTAGGATGTGGGTTGGCAAAGCTCTTCCAGTGTCCAGAAAGCAAGGGTTTAAGAATGACCGGTCTGGACTTGACCAGAAGGATGGCTCCACCGCCTGTTTCTCCCTGTGCTTGGTATCGCCCTCCAAACCCTTCCTACCCTCAGAAACATCACCTGAGTATTTGTCGGCGTCACACGGGTGGCAAGAAGTTTCTTCCTTGTTCGAATAAGAATTTTCTGGACAAAGTTTGCAGAAAGAGGAGCCCTGCTTGTCTGCATATGTGCCGGGTTTGCAGGGGAAGCATTCCGAAGTGTAGGCCACCCCTGGGAAGGAAGAACATAGAAAAGCAAAACTTGCGCCTAGAGACTGAGCCCCCTGGGGACTGGCCCCCACTCTCCTCCTACAGAGTCACAAGGCTGAAAACTCAGCAGCAGACCCAGGCCCCGCCCCTCTCCATACCTGTGATGACGATGTTTCTCACCAGCACAGGCTTGGAGACTTTGGACCACACTGAGAAGGCTGTGGTTCTCCAATAGAGGACATTATTGCCTCGATTTAGCTTTACCTACAAACACAGACAGGAGTTAGTGCAGCCTCTCGCTGGGACCCCCTCCTCTTACCAGTGCCTGTTCTGATCCTCCCCCTCACTTCCGCAGCTTTGCACTTGCTCTTGCCTTGGCCTTCCTCCTCTGTCTGAGCTTCCTCTACCACCATCTCCCACCCTCGGTCACATACACCATGAGCAGCTCTGCAGCGAGACCGGTGAAGGGATCTGACGGTAGAGTGGGTCTGACAGTAGGGTAAATGGAATTCCTCCTTCTTCTCTGATTCTACTTATCCATCTCTTGTCCCCAGAAGACCTGGCCTTTACAAAGGCTGCTGATCCTTGGGGTCAAGCCACTGGTGCAGCAAGACAGCCCACACCCATATTTTGTCAACTCATTAGGAGAGAAACTGCAGCATCCTCAGCATGTCAGACCCCTGTCCTCTGGGGAAGGAGGGGTGGAGGCCTGGGCTGGGAGGAAGCACTCCTCGGAGGAAAGGCCCTTGGTCCCTTTTCCGGGATTTCTAGGAACGGCTGCATCTCCAGCAGAGGCGGCAGGAAGGCTGGCTCGATGCTCACATTGTGGAATTCCCATCCTTTCTCTGTGGTCCTCATCCACCGGGAGTCATCTGCATTGGGCTGGCACTGGTCATTCTGGACCTGAGGCAGCAGGAGTTTGGGATCAGAGTCTTCTAAGGAAAGGGGTTCCTTCCCCCACGCTGTGGCAGCCTTCCAGAGGCCCCTTTTTGTGGGAGAAGAGTTGCCAATTTCCTTTAGGAACAGAGCTCAGAACATACGAGCCTTGAAGGAGGGCAGGAGCTAGTCGCACACACAGAACGTCAGGCACTGACAACAAAGACATAACCGGTAACTCACAGAAGCCATTCCATGCGGTGTGCGTGTCTGAGCAGGGCGAAACCCCCAGGATTCCCAGACTCCCCTCCTCCCCTCAGATTCCCTCGCCTCTTGAAGCCTCAGCTCCTTTTGCCCACAGTTCTCTCCAGAGGATAACAACTGGGGCGATTTCCCAGGCAGGACTGGGCTTGATTCCTGCAGGTGCATCTGAGCCACGGGGAGTTTCTGCCACCCACCCTCCCCCTTGGCCAACAGCTTACAAAAAACTCAAAGATGATATTGGAGTCTGCGTAGTAGTATTCGAAGCTGACAGTGCCCGACTGCTTCAGGTTGACGGCATACTTCAGTGTGGCCGTGCACTCGTCCGTGTTGGAGGCGATGTAGTCGCCCAGGGGAACCCACTTGGACCTGTGGGTTGAAACAGGGGCCAAGTTCACTGTCAGGGGCACGGCCCACCAGCCTCATGTGACCTTCTAGGTCTCTGGGGGAATTCTTGATTTGTGGTTCACAGGCGAAAGCTGAGACCTGAAAATGCTCAGTAAAGAACGACGTCTGAGCCTGGCCAGCGTGGCTCAGTGGTTGAGCATCGACCTGTGAACCAGGAGATCACGGTTCGATTCCCAGTCAGGGCACATGCCTGCCTTGTGGGCTCAATCCCTAATGTGGGGCGTGTAGGAGGCAGCCAATCAACGATTCTCTCTCATCATTGATGTTTCTATCTCTCTCCCTCCCTTCCTCTTTGAAATCAATAAAACATTTATATATTTTTTTTAAAAGAACAACCTCTGGATCAAGGAACCAATAAGAGGTGGCCCCACATTATGCCCCCACTATTTCACTGTTTTGCTGGAAACCAGCTCATGTCTCCAGTGACTAATAATGTCCCATTAAGGGGACCTCAGTTTAGTCCCCTGGTTTCCTCCTGTGTTTGTCAGAGTAACATGGCACTTCCAGCTCTTCAACAGTTAGTGTTATTCTCGCATGGAAGCATATCCAAAGCACCTATGCTGAGCTCCTGCAAGATTCCCGCACTAACCTAATGGTATTGATTGCTCCTGTTAAACGAGACAACACTGAATGCTGATGTGCTCCCCGGCATCAGCTATAAATAACTGCTGAAGTCAGATGAATAATTAAAAGGGTGCCATAATGGGTTACATTTGCAAAATGCATCACAATTCTGGTGTTTGTCAGAGCTGTCCCTGGCGAGGATCACTTCACACTCAATCAGAACAACATGTCTTCACCGATTTCTAGTGCCAGGCATTGCTCCAAATTCTTGCTCTTATCAACTCATTTAATTATTTCCACTCCCTATAAGAGGAATACTATTTTCAGGATGAGGAAACTGAGGCACCAGAGTAATTAGGAAATTTGCTCACATTCATTTAGCTGTGATCTGCTTATACCTGCTTTGTTTTCCCATAACCCTGGTCAAAGAGAGGCAAGTGTTCTAAGAAGAATTCTCACATGGCGGCCACCCAGGCACCGCCTGGCTCACGCTGTGTGGCATTATTTTATAAGTTCAAGTTAGAAAGAAGAAACTGCACAGGAAAACTTAGAGGCTTCCCATGTTTGAAACCCTTTTTAGTATTTACATAGATATTGCTCTCATTCTTGTTTCACCCTCATACTGCTTGGCTTCTGTCCTTTTTTCTCCTTTAACATACAGCATCCTTTCTATCTTACTTCTTCTTTACTCCTGTTCCCTCTTGCTTATCCCAGTCTTGGATCTAAGGGTTGTTTCCAGCACCGTGATCAAGGGACATTTAGCCAGGAACCAAGAAGGAGCCCCTGAAGGATTGTCCTATTTTGTTCCGTTATTTATTTCTTGTCAACGTTGTGCCAGATGTTAGATGCTGGACATACAACAAAAAACAAGACAGACCTGGTCCCCTCCCTCTTGAAGCTTGCATTCTGCTTATAGTTGAGGAGACAGAAGCTTAGCTAATCACACAATTAACCACGTGGTAATAACTGTGATAAGTGCCATAAGGAGAAGATGATGCAAGAGTGTGTAACAGGAGCCTGTGGGGTCAGGAATGACTTCTTTGAGGAAGTCACACTTAGGCCCCGAGGAGGGACAGAGCGTGGTGGCCAGCCTGGCTAGAGCATAGTAAGCAAGAGGGAAGGTGCTTGAGAGAGGCTGGAGAAATGGGCAGAGAGCAGAGGCCAGTCGGGGCAGGTACTGGATTTTATTCCAAGAGCAATAAGAGTCCATAGCATCCAGAATTTTCAGCAGGAAAGTACTGTGGTTGTATTTGTGTTTTAAGGTCAATCTGGTTGCTGAGTGGACAGTGGCTTGGAGAAGGCTGGGAGTGGAAGGAGGTACTTGCTGGGAGGTGTTAGAGGCAGAACAGGCAGGAGGTGGTGCTGGCTGGGGTTAGTTTGGAGGCAGTGGATTCAGGTAATACCAGCTCAACTATTGCCTTTCTGTGGGCGGTGAGGAAATCGCAAAGCCTCTCTGGATGGCCATCTGCTCTCCGTTTCTAGAGAGAAACCTACTCTCCCCTCCCAGGGATGTCCTGGAAGCTTTGAGATCCAGGCCCTTCAGGCTCTGTGTCGTGGAAGCAGGTTGAGTTGTTTTATTACCCAGCCCACACCCTGCCTCGCTGAGAGGTAATGATTTCTGGACTTCAGTGCATCCCCAGAGAGAGAGAAACCCTTTCTCGCTGAGTAGGAATTGATTGAGTGCGCCAGACCTGCACCTGGGTCGGCTCAGTCACATTCTCTGTTAGGACACAGATGGGGTTGGTTGTCTTAACCTGCATTCCCTCTCCTTCCAGCTTTAATCCTCTCCAGCTTTCTCTCGGAGGCAATGTTGTCGTGCTAATGATTTCGACACATAATTTGAATTCTAAAACTGGACTCTGAAATGCCTGCTGCCTGGCTCCGACAAGGTACTTCTAGGAGGTTAAAATATAAGAATGGGAGACATTGCTCCCGTTTTAGAAATCCAAGTGTAATGCAGTTATTAACTCCTTTTTGTCCTTTTGATTGCTTGGGCATAAGAGACACTTTCATGGACGTACTTCTCTCCCGTATTCTTGGCCAATATTTAACAAAGAGCAGTGGACGACTGTCTTTTACATCCATGCACCGCCCCCACTTTCTTCCCTAGGATCCAGCGTTGCCTCGCACACACTGACTCATTGGAAGGTGGCAGCTCGGGGCAGTAGAAAGCTTGGGACTGGGTGTGAGTTCCAGGCTTGCCAGCTGTAAGCCGGGTAACAAAGGACGAGTCACTGAACCTCACTCGCTGAGTCTCCAGTTCCTCGCCTGTGAAATGGGAGCAGTCATGCTATTTCACGGGTTCTCGTGGGGATTAAAGCATCCACCACGATGCTGAACAACAGAAGGCACATCATTTCACTCCGACCCCTGGCATTACGTATTCAGAGATTTTGACAAGGAAAGCTCACCAGTTCTACGAGCACCCTGAGCTGAGCTTTTCAATTACTAAAAATATCTCCTTTTGAGCTGGGAACGTTTCAGTCACTGGAGTCTCAAAGGATTTGAAAGCCACCACCGACCAAAGCTCTGGTCCTGCTCTATCCCCTCCCCCCACACCTCGGGGTTGGCAGACCAGTTTTAGAAGTTAGCACCGAAGCTAGGAAGATGCCCAGGGCTTTACACATTGAGTTGCCATCAACGTGAGGCTGTTTATTGGCTGACCCCGAATTCCATGGTGGAAATGCAATTGGATTTTGTTTTAAATGGACTGGGCCCTTGAACCCGTGGCCATCTTACCTACCTCTCTCTATCTCCCCATGTTTTTCTCCTGCCACAAATGCTTGTCCATCACTAGGAAGCTTATGTCCGTGAATGAGCTACGGTGGACGGACGTCCCACCTAACAGTGCTGTGGGCACCTGCTTCAGCCCTCAGCCTGGGCTCCCTCCTCTCCACCCTCCCTGCCCGCCTGCAGAGCAGAAGAGGAGTGCTCCCTGAGCCCCTTCCCAGCACAGGGAGGAGGGAGCACAGGGGTGGGAGAGGACAGGGAGAAAGAAGGTGACTCACAAAGTGCAGTTCTCGGTGGACTCGTTGGTGTTGTCGTTGATCTCCACATTGGATGAGAGGCTGGCAAAGCCATGGGGCAGCTCGTCCCACTCGTCAAACCGGATGCCCGTGCCAAGGGAGTAGCGGCCCTCAGTGCAGGGCTTACAGGACTGGTCCTTCATGTCCAGAAACTCCCCAGCATTGCAAGAAAAGGCTGGAACACAAAGCAAGGACAAGGGTGGGGTGGTGAGGCCACTGCTGCCCTAGGAGAAGTGGGCAGGTTCTGGGCATCCTACAGGGAGGAGCAGAGGGTGGAGGTCTAGGCATTGGGCCCGGTAAGCGTTAGAGCCATGCATGTCTTATCCAAGTCCATTAACATGGAATGTCTGAACAGGCAAATCCACAAAGACACATGGTGAATTTGTGGGGCCAGCGACTTGGGGGAGAGATGGCTGGTAGATTTGATGTCTGTTTTTGGGATGATAGTGTTCTGAGATTAAATAGTGGTGATGGTTATGCAACTCTGAATATTCTAAAAACTAAGTGAACTTTATACTTTGAGGTGAATTTTACGACATGCAAGTTATATCTTAGTAAAGCTGTGATTTAAGAAAGAAAAAGACTTGGGCTGTGGAAGCTCTGCCTTGCTGAGGGATTTGGGCTTCTCCCTGTCAATCTTGTTTCCTAAGGGAGTAGCCGTGGCCATTCCGAGACCTCTCCAGTGAAGAGGACGCCATGGTCTCTCACGCCGACCCCTCTGAAGGGCACCTGGTCCTCCAGCCTTGAGTTTCCCCTTGAGTCTCTGTCTCCTTTCCGGTTCCACTGACCGTGCGGTTGGGATTCTCATGACCTGTGAGCTCACCCTCGGCAGTGTCCTCCTAACTTGTGCCCTGTTTCTTGTTTATGCTCACTTTGTGGTCAGAAGTATCATTCTAAAACATTGACTTAATTAAAAAATGATCAGGTACCCCTCTTTGGTTATAGAATTAAGCTCTCAGCCAAACTTTCCAGCTTATCTCCCACGCAGACCTTTCTCCAGCCCAGCCCCATCCTCACGCTGCCTGTGTTGTCTTCATCCCAGGTCACGTGTTCTTCAGCCCAGCCCCATCCTCACGCTGCCTGCGTTGTCTAATAAGTATCCATAGCCCCCATTCTTTTTCACCTCGTATTAACACATCATACTGATGGGAGCCTGCCACCAGGCCCTGACTCCTCCAGGGATGATGGCTCAGTGACGGACACAGGAGCTCTCCATAAAGGTTTTGCTGACAAATGAATGGATATATGCACATAGGAGGAGCTCGATAAAGTTGGCCCAGTTAAGAGAAGACGGCTCATTTGTTTCCATTAGTCACACCTCCGTTCTGCTCGGGTCTTAGCAATATTCATTCTCTAATTTAACAAGTATTTATTTGCCCACTTACTGAACCAGGCATTATGCTAAGCCTATTTTAGAATTTAAATGCCCTCAATTTCCTTTCCAAATTTTCAAGTGTTCCTTGATTCTAGTCTCTGATTTGTATTGTTACTCCCTTTGCATATCTAAAAAGAATAGTGCAGGGGAATGAGCAGCTGATTGTAGAAAAGCTCTAAGAGTCGCCGAGGTGGGAACAGGAGCTGCAGGCAAGCCATCGCCCGGCTGATTGCACAGTCAGCTCCCGTCGGGGAAGGTTCTTATTTCCTGAAGTGATGCCCAGTGTGTTTTAAATTCATCTTCTCTGGCTTCCTTTTCAAGGACGAAAGCAAATTGCAATCTTTCTAATGACCATTTGTGGCTGGTGAGTGCAGATTGGAGGCATGCGCAGGCAAAAAGGAAAATGTATGCACGCTGAAAAAAGTATCTGCATGGCACACAGCTGGAATTACTTACACTTTATACCCTAATGGGATTTAAAAACATTTTTAAAGCAAATTCAGATCCCCAGTTTGCATCTGTGAAATAACATTTCTGCGCCAAATCTCAAAAGGGTTGAGGATGGGGACTAAGTGGGAAAAAGATCTGATTCCTTAAGGCAGCTGCACTGTCAGGGAGGGCCTCGCTTGCAAGGCAGGAGGCATGGGGCAGAGGCTGAAGCTGAGTGACAGGTGGCCCTGGAGCAGGATGGCTGCTTACAGCACTCGGTGCCCTTGACGGGGTCCGGGAGGCTGGTGCAGAGGCCTGGGGTGTGCGGCACAGCAACCCTCCACCTGGAACTCATGCTGTCACATGCGGTGTACTCGTAGTGGTACTCAGACTGCAGGGGAGAGAACAGTGGGCAAAACCCATGTTAGTGTTGATCCAACCGTACCAGCTTCTCACCCTTTTCCTCCCCAGCACCAGGGCTACTGACCCTCATCAACAGAGTAACACCCTGAGACCCTGGTGGGGAGCAAGGCATCATGGGAGCTATAATTATTTAGACCACTCTTCTCCATCCAGTCATAGCCTTTAGAAATCCTTTCTTTTTCTTTTCTTTGGGGTGACTCTCTTTGCCGTTATGTATAAGTAATGTCCTGATATTACTGAACAGCCTAGAAACAGATGGAGTTTTTTTACCCCAAACTGTAGAATTTATGAGCAAGGACTATCCATTAAAAATTTCCAAAGGATTGTCACAGAAGCTGTATTTCTTTTACCCTGTATTCCTCAGGCTCCCTTCTGCCCAGAAAGACGATGAATTCCCACCTCCCATTTTAAAAACGTCATATTTAGCCCACGCAGGTGATGTGCTCTCATCCTGTGGGTCTGTTCGTGCCTGATTTCTCTGTGCAGTAGGAAACTCACAGTTCAGTTGCTTTACTTGAACTAAGAATAAGCTAAATAACAACAGCAAAACAGCCAAATCAACCACTAAGTAGGACAACAAAAACCATTACTTGGGAGAGAGAAGACAGAATGAATGTTTATTCTTTTAAATCTTGTCATAAATAATAGAGCGCAGAATTGGTTTGACTTTGGCTCTGACAAGTATTTTACAATCTGCACTAAAACTATATTAAAGCACAGAACTACTTCGTATTATTGTGTCCATAAGAAAAATAGAGGTAATGTCGCCTCTCAACCCATATGAAAGCATGGTTGCATAACATGTATAAATGCAAGGAGCTGAGCCTGAAAACGAGACAGCTAATCTCAGAATGCATCAGAACCACAAGGGAAAGCTTTTCCTTTGAAAGAGGTGGCCCTACCTACTGCATTTCATCTCTTCTAAAATGCCCGTTTCTTTCCCATCGTAACATCAGTGAAATCAAGATGTGTTGCTTATAACTGACACGACGAGGAAGCATCGCGCCATGTTTTAATTCTTTGTGGTACATAACAAATGGTGTGTCTGAGAAGCAGTGGCATCCCCAACTTGTGGAAATAAGATAGATGTGTTTCTGTAGTTTAAGTCACTTAAGATGATAAGAGGACAATTGTAGAGCTCCTCTTTTATTTTCCTCTATTATAAATATTTACCAAATATGTATTGTACACCCACCACTTATAGGTACCAGATGTGGTACCTGGTGGGAGTCAGGGCCGCCACCCACAAACTCAGCACTTTCCTCCCGAGGGAACAGATGCAGAGGACAAGGGGGCAGTTTGGGGAACCGTGAGGCTAACTTTTGATGAGAGTCTCCGGCTTTGCACTTAGACGTTGCTGTCATCTAGGGAAGAAAGAACACCAGGATGGCAGTTCTTTGTGCCTTTGGCTAATCTCTCGGGGTCTGTTTTTCCTCCTAATTCCAGTCTTTTCCTTAGCTCAGAGGACTCTCAGATAAACAGGGCAGGCAATCCCACATGTATCAATTCCAGGGCTAAAACGATGCGTTCTAAAGGGTTTTGCTGCAAGAATGAGGGGTAAAACCCACGGTATGTAAATGCAACGCAGAACTGAGCAAAGCAGGTGGAAAGGATTCAGGCTGTGAACATGATCATGGCGGTCATTAGCATAGTGCTTTCACAGTTCCCGCAACAGCGGCTCATTTGCTCTTCAGTCTGCCTTCAACCAGACAAGCAGAGCAGGGTTGTTCCCTTCCTTGTACAGACAGGAAACACTGTCTACCCGGTGAGATGTCTTGTCCAAGGTCACACGGCTGGAAGGTCACAGAGCCAGAACCCAGGCCTTCCCACCAGGAATCCTCTACCCTCCTACCTCGAACCAAACACAGGCTCACGCTGGGCCAAACTTAACAGCCAAATCTAAAAATTAAACAAGACAGTGCTGGCTGGCTGCCAGCAGCCAGGCTCTCTTTGAGGCCTGAGCATTGGCGCTAAAATACCTCATCTGTGCGAGCAGATAGCTCAGCCCACTCTGACTACATTTGGTCTTTTGGAGACACACGGGCCAAGACCATTTCTTTTCATGGCCTTTCATGAGACCCACTCGGGGGAGGTTTGCTGGGAAAATGGTGGTTCCTACATGTGCTGATTTACTTCCTGTCACTTGGGGATATTTACACCATCCAAGGTGGCTGGTTGTGCTGCAGCCATTTCAGACCTGAACGCTTTGCACTCTCACCATGCAAGACATAAGCTTAGACAGTTAAATCAGAGGCATAACTGGCAGCAGTCCTCAGTTATACTTTGTGAGCAAGTCAGTTCCCCAACAGGGCCTCAGTTTACCCAGTGCCCTGTCTTTGTACGGGTACACCCTGCATAATGCACAGATTCACAAAGGAGACACACAAATATATTCAGTGCGTATGTCAAGCACAAGTCCTTGCTCCCTCCCCCTGCACAATGATATGAAAATATCCAGATCACAATTTTAAATGGGGCACAGTAGGCAGTGGCTACTGCCTGTTCATCAGAGAAAGAAGGGGAGGATGATGAGGGGTGGGCACCTTAGTTAATCTGCCCTCCCCTAAATCACCCAGCCACACACCATGCTCCGGGGAGCATGAGAAAGAAGGGAAAAAAATCCCAAAGTTGGAACCTGCCTTGCCAAATATTCAGCTATCTATAGGGAACACTAATCTTTTGGCCCCAGAGGAAGAAGAATTTACTCAGACCCACATGATTCGGTCTTGGTGGAATTGTCCAATGAGGTGGGCAGTGCTCCTCTGCCAAGGCCTGGGCACATGCCCACAGGAGGCCAGTCAGATGCTCTCCCTGGGCAGGTGGGAGATGGGCTGAGGGGCTGAGGACACAGCCACGAGTAGGGACCTGAGGTGGGTGGGAAGTGAGGGAAGGATGGGGCAGGGGAAGGTCCTCAGGGAGGTGACCTTCAAGGGGATCACTTGACTGGTCATTTGACTCCTCTGAGCCTCAATCTTCTCATCTGTAAAATGGGAAAATTGGACTTAGGCAGTTTATAATTTCTAAGATTTCTTCCAGTCCCAGTATCTTATTTCACGGCTGATACTTGCATGGGAATCTGTTCTTCCTTCCACCTATTCTCCCTTCAAAGTGGCACACCCAGATTTATTTATTTATTTATTTATTTATTTATTTATTTATTTTAAAAGATATTTAATGATTTTTTAACAGAGAGGAAGGGAGAGGGACAGAGAGTTAGAAACATCGATGAGAGAGAAACATCAACCAGCTGCCTCCTGCACGCTCCCTACTGGGGATGTGCCCACAACCAAGATACATGCCCTTGACCGGAATCGAACCTGGGACCTTTCAGTCCGCAGGCCGACGCTCTATCCACTGAGCCAAACCGGTTCGGGCGCACACCCAGATTTAAAAATGATTTTCAAAGTAATACAAGTTCATTCTAGAAAAGATGACAATACAGGCTAGAATGAAAGAGAAAACCTGCCACAAGTCCACCGAGCACAGATCACTACCTGTAACGTGTAGTGTATTTCTTTCCAGACTCTTTTCCGTGCACATGAATACATCGCATGGTATGTAGTTATGTGTTCTGACCTTTCTTTTTTTTTTACATTTTAGGTCACAAGCACTTTCCTATGTCTTTAATGGTGGCACCATAGTTTCTTTAACCATTCTCTATTGTTGGACATTGACTTTTGTCCAGTTTTTCATTATTTTACATAGCACTACAATAGCTAGTATCACTAGTTATTTCCTTTGGGAAGATTCCTGGAAGTGGAATTACTAAGTAAAGAATATTAATTTCTTTAAGATTCTTGATCAAGAAGGGAGATTTCTAGAGAAAACAAACATTTCTAAGTCTCTTTTAAAAAAATTTTATTACGGCAAATTTCAAATATATATATTTCTATTTTTCCCCAAATATATATTTTTAGCAAACAGAATATAATGCCCCCATGTACCCATCACCCAGCATCAGTACTTACCAATTTCTGCCATTCTTGCTCATTCACCTCCACCCACTCCTCCCCAGTTGAAGTTATTTCTTATAGGTTTTGTGTTTTTTTAAGGTGAAATTTGTATGGGATGAAATCCACATATCTTAGCCGTACAATTTGGATAAATGGGACACGAGTAAAGCTTTGACAGGGCTGAGCATCACTGCCCAGAGACTGCTGGGGAGAAGGGGCCCCTCCCCTGCCACCTCCACCCCGAGGCAGAGCAGACAGTCAAGCAGGTGTCTCACAGGCTGAGTCTTAGAACCTCCGAGCCACTGCTGCAGGCAGTCACGCCCACCCAAGGAAGCAGGGCATCGGCACGGCTTGGTTTGTCTTGGCTGGGACAGGGCTGCTTCAAGAAACAGGTTCTTAAGTAAACCCGGATTCTGACTAGAGGCCTTGGGGTCTGGAGGAGGTTGTGTCCGGCTCCCACACCCATCCCCTGCTGGCTCGTCCCCATCTCCTCACTGTCCCTGAAAATCAGATCCTTTGGGGAGAATGGCAAGATGGGGGCAGGGTAGGCGAGGCAAGCGCCCCAAGCTTGGTACAGTGGGGTCAGTAGGTGTTTGCTGACTCAGTTGTAAACCCTCTGCTTGGAAAGCACCTGCCTCGGACAAGAGCAGGTCCCATTCAACAGGCCTGTCTGTCAAGGAGAGGCTGGCCCTTTGCTGGGAGGGAGGAATGAGCTAGTTGACTTAACACAGAACATGGGAAACCATGGAGAAGTGTCAGAATTTGAACGTGCGACTTTCTCTTAGGCCCAGCCTGGGCTCCTGTTCTTTGTCTTTGTTTTTTTGTTAGTTTGTTTTTGCTTTTGGCATGCCCAGCAGGTTTTGGTTTTGGTTGAGGCTCAGGGCATCATGGCCTTGCTTTGTCCCCTTGTGAAGGGTAGGGTGGAAGGCACAGCACCATTGTTCTCTAGCAGGTGGGGGGGAGGGGGCACCGGGCGCACAGTAGGCCTTCTCCCTCTTTCCCACCCTCCTTCCCA